CCTCTTACTCTAGACCAAGGGTCTTATGCACATGAATGAGAGAGAGAGAGAGAGAGAGAGAGAGAGAGAGAGAGAGAGAGAAATAACAAGACTCTGAGGGATAAGGATGGGTAAGGTTGAGAAAGGTAATTTATTGCACATTTGAGAAATATTAATTGGCCTAAGTACTCAGTACTGCTCAGAATGCTAGAGATTTACATTAAGAGAGATGGTTAAGGTCCCCACCCCGTCCCCCTCCCCCTCCATCCCCCCACAGCAAACCATTCAGCTTATTCAAATGTAGTTTCTGCAGCACCCCTCCCCCCTCCTTTCCCCTCCCCTCCTTTCCCCTCCCCTCCCCTCCCCTCCTCCCCTCCCATCTTCCTCCTTTCTTTCTCTCCTTCCCTCCCTTCTTTCCTTTCTCACAGACTGGCAGCCATTGCCCCTGCAGCAGCAGACGCATTCTCCAGCCATCTCATGTAACTCCAGGCTGAAGGGGTCCTCAGTCCTCTAAAGCAGCCTGTGTTCTTTGTCCTACTTTTAATGCTTGGATGGGGTGGAGATGGGGGAGGGGAGGGTGGAGGGTTGTTTCTGAATCCTTATGTTTCGGTTTGCTTATTTCCAGACAAAGGGAACATTGTTTGTTTGTTTGTTTTATCTGTTAACTGGGAATGTTCTGAAGCCTTCCTTCCTCCAAAGGATCCCATCAGCAGAGTCATGCCCATGAAGCATCAGTCCCTCTGTTTAAGCCACACTCTGGCACATGCAGAATAGAGTGAATGGCTGCAGTCAGTATTGCTCTCCATTTTACAGAGTAGGAGACAATACCAGAGTGTTAAACTGAGAGCATAGGTTTGAAGCAGGGGAACTGGGCATGGATTCTAACTCCCTCTTTCCCAGATGGGAGGCCTGTGGCAGCTCCTTTAACCCCTGAGGCTTGGTCTCTTCCTCTGCTAAATGATCAAACACCCTGCTGAACAGGTGGGGCTGAAAAAAAAAATCACCAAAGGAAGATGCCCTGGCCTGTTTGGAGGGTGATGCTCCCCAGTTCCACTTCTGGTAGAGGATGGAACTGAACTGACAGACAGTTGAGATGTTCGTCCAGCCCAGCTACCTTTGTTTTGTTGTTTTCTATTTTAGAAGGACCAGATCTAGCTGCACTTACTGTCTTTTTAGAGTTCCCATGCGTTCCATGTCCAGTAGCCTGGGCAGGATGCTTGCTTAGGAATCTGACCAGGACTAGCCCGCTGTATGCATGGGCTAAGGGACTTTGCAGCTCACACACAAGCACAGCCCTTGCTTGATGGAACTAAGTTCACTTGGGCATAAGCATCTTCAAGTTTAGGAGCCTCTGTGTGTTCCCTTTGGTTGTAGAGACCCTTCACAGAGCCAGGAAAGACAGCTGCACCTCCTCCTTGCAGACCCTGTTGTTTGGAAGTGCTGCTTCGGTTCTCCTAGGTTCCAAGGTGTAAGAAGGAGTCCCTGTCTCCTAACTCTATGATGCACTTCAAGTCTAAATGCTCACTGTATGCCTGTTAGAATCCAGTTTTTAAAAACATACATTCTCACACCGGATGGCGGCGCGCATGCCTTTAATCCCAGCACTTGGGAGGCAGAGGCAAGCCAATCTCTGTGAGTTTGAGGCTAGCCTGGTCTACAAAGCGTGTTCCAGGAAAGGTACAAAGCTACACAGAGAAACCCTGTCTCGAAAAACCAAAACAAACAAACAAACAAAAACCCCAAAAACAAAAAAAACAACAACAAAAAAAAAACAGGGGGGAAAACATATATTCTCTTGGGAGACTCCCTGCTCATCCCCAGGAATCCCAAGTTCTGGAGACCCGGATCACCAGGCAGCCCTAGAAAACAGTGCTATTTCTTGTGTAGTATTAGAGGGACCAGCCTTAATATTATACATCCCAGGGGCTCAGGAGAGAAAATTATGAACAGTGAGGACTATTTTTAGGACATAGAATCTCAGTGCACCGAGCTCTTAGTCCAGTCATTTATTCTCCCAAATCTTCTTCTCCATCCTCCCGTGCCCTGGGAGTTCTGGTATATTATTATATATATTATATATTACTTATAAGCAGTAATCCCTTGGTAGTGCAAAGCCAGGCTTCCAGGGGCAAATGGAGGGGTGATAAGAATCACAAAGAGAAGCAGTAATTGTTAATTATCATTTGCAACCCAAAAGGGAAGTGATTAATGGGGAAATGAATTAACTAAAGGCTAAATTCGGGTAATATCTAAGAAGAGGGATCTTATGTGCTCAACTATAAATAATCTTAAATGTGATTGGGAGAAAATGTTAAGAATCTATAAGTTGCTAGGTCAATGGGAGAAAATAAAACTGCCTTCTTTTTTCTGTGGCTCCTATCTGTCCAAGCTATCTGCCGTTTTTCTGCAGGGTGGGGGAAAGTGTGCTTGGTCGCTGGGCAACCTGTGTACAGCTAGATGCCTCTGGTGATAGTTAAAGGAAGATCTGGAACTAGAGGTAAGATTTGGGAGAGGAGGAAGTTAAGCTTAATTGGCACATCTGCCAGGCCTTCTCAAAGGGGTAGTCTGGATGATTAAGTCTGTTCTTAGAGAGTACAGAGGTATCTGTAATAAGGTACTTTCTTCCCTCTGGGGATGGACCTGGCCGGATGCTGCCAGTGACGATAATTACAGGGAGGCTTGAACTGGGGTTCTGGCTGTGCATAGCTGTCAGCACAGAAGGCTATCTAAATATTCCTGGAAGTGGTTAGGTAAGGAGTTAGAGGTCCATAAAGTTAGTAAGGCTGCAAGAGAAGGAGGGCACGAGCTAAATTGTGCGAAACTATTACTTAAGGTCCAGCTGACCTAGGCTCTGTCTCCTTGTGGAATTTGCCTTAAGTCAGGAGACTAGCATGTGGTGGTCTGGACTGTTATTTCTGTTAGTCCTTGAATGTGGCTAATCTGATTCCAGTGCTGAAAGGGGAGAAACGGATGGGCTGGGGGAAGGAAGCCTTTCCTGAGGCTGTTCTCCAAATACCCTGAATGTGTATGTCCAGAGAGTGATCAGTCCATACTGTTAGCAGTTCTTAAGGAAAAATCAATTGGGAAAACTATGAGGGCACACATGATTTTTATAACAGAAGACAGTTGATATATAACAAGCCAAATAACACCAAATGCTCCTTGGAATTTAGCTTCCTCTGAAAGAATTCCTTGATCCCTTCAGGTAAGTGGCTTTGCCATAACCAGTTGAGTTCTGATAATTTATTCCTGCGGCCCACAGCCGCTATTTTCTCCCCTTCTGCACTTGAAGGCACCAAAGCCTGCCTGGATGGTCCAATTTGCCTCTTTAGCTCACACAAGCGCAGCACCTGTGGGTATCCCCATCCCTAATGAGTGACAGGGAAAGAGTTATAGCTTTGGAAGAGGCTAGCCTGAACTCAACCCAGAGGCCTTGTTTGACATGGTAGTAACAGCTGAACATGGTGGAGCACTTAGGCACTTATTCAGCATTTGAGAAGCCAGTCTGGGATACATAGCGAGACACTGTCACACACAAACAAAATAAGAAATAGTAGATGACAATATCTGCTCCTCTAGGTTACAGTGAGAATCTAAAATTCTTTTTTTGCATATAAAATTAATATTTGTGCAAAGCATATATTTTATACGTGTTTTACATAATTTAAAAATTACCTCTAAATGTCATACCACACCTCCTTAAAATAAGCCAGAGGCTTTACGTTCACAGACTATTCACCTTGATAGTGCCACTTCTTGGAATGCTGTTGCTAGTTCCCCAGCAACCAGCTTTCTATTTCTCCTGGCTCAAAATAAGAACCAGCCTTTCCCCACACACATATGCACACACACACTAGCATGTATACATGATTGCATATACACACTTGTGTGTACACATACCTTCATCGTTTCATCTGGGTTGCGGCTGTTGCAGCACCCACACACACAGGACCCCACATTGTTAACATTCTAATGTTTTCTTGTGAGTTGGTAAGCCATCCCAGCTCAGCACCAAGGACATGGGAAGTTAAAAGCATTTCTCAATACAGCAAAATGCACCTATCACAGGTCAGGCCAGAGAGCAGAGCTTTTGAGAAATGCCATAAGTAACAAGTTTCTGGAATTTCCCACTTAAAATAGCAAAGTTAAAACATAAAGACACATTTCTTTCTTTTTTCTTTCTTTCTTTTTTTTTTTCCTCCAAACAAAGTTTCTCTGTGTAGCCCTGACTGTGTCCTGGAACTTGCTCTGTAGATCAGGCTGGCTTCAAACTCAGAGATCTGCCTGCCTCTGCCTCCTGAGTGCTGGGATTAAAGATGTGTGCCACCACTGCCCAGCCCTAAAGACAAATTTCTTAAGGCTTCCAGGAACCCTGGGATTTCCAGAGAGAGAAGACTGTAGATGCCACCTGTATACTATCTTCTATGGTGATCCTAATCTATCTCCCCTCAACAAAGAAACCAAATATATATAATATATATATATATATAATTTGTTGGTATTCTATTTTCTTTCCTTAAATTTTTTTTAATTAAGAAAATGGAGTTTAAGCCATGCATGGTGGCAACACCTTTGATTCCAGCACCTGGGAGTTAGAGGCAGGCAGATCTCTGAGTCTGATGTTAGCTTGGTCTACAGAGCAAGCCAGGACAGCCAGGGCTATACAGAGAAACCATCCTAAAAAAACCAAAACCAAGAAAGGAAAAGAGAGAAAGAGAGAGAGAGAGAGAGAGAGAGAGAGAGAGAGAGAGAGAGAGAGAGAGAGAGAGAGAAAGAAAGAAAGAAAGAAAGAAAGAAAGAAAGAAAGAAAGAAAGAAAGAAAGAAAGGGGGAGGGAGGGAGGGAGGGAGGGAGGGAGGGAGGGAGGGAGGAAACTGAGTTTAGTTCCTTGAATATGTGGCATACATGAGAGGTTTTCTTGGTGTCTTGAGGGATCGATGTTCGCACATGATACTCAGTCACCTATGTTTTCCAGGCTGCCTCTATTCTCCACACCTCCACCTTGCTTCCCCACTCACTCACATGAACCTGAGTTCTGACTCTCGACGGACCAGGACTTCACGGAGACGCTGGATTTTCGCCATTTCCAGCTCAATCTCTTCTGGCATCATGCTGGTTTCAGCCATGGAGATGATGTCCAGCTGGCCTGTGTGAACAGGAAACTGGTGTCAGGACTCTAATGCCATGAGGGCTTTCAAAAATTCCCACCAGACATATGGGGTGTGGTTCCTCATTCCAGCTACTAGGGAAGCAGAGGCAGGAGGGTTGAGAGTTTGAGTTCCATCTGGAAGACAGTGAGATCCTGTCTCTCCAAAAAATAAGAATTCTTACAAGGAAACTGTACTATTTCCCTGGGTAGCAACCATGCCCCAGCAGCCACAACACACCACAGGGGCAGAGATATGAACTAGGCTGAGAGTGTGTATGAGAGAAGGAGCCTTCCAAATCCAGGAAACCCATGGTGCTATGGTTTTAATATGACTTGTGTTGAGGCTTGGACCCAAGCATAATGGAGTGGAGAGAAAGTGGGGCCTGTGATATATGATTAGAAATAATCAAGGTATGCTCCTTCTCTCACAGGCCTGGATTAGTTACCTAGGAGGCAGCTTGTAATAAAGCATGTTCCATTTTCCTGGCTCACTCACCTCTCCTGCATGCACCTGCTGCCCTGATGCAGCATGAGGCATCACCCACACGTGAACTTTCTGTCCCTCACCAGAATCAAACTCCTTTCTTTACAAATCACCCATTCCTGGGTATTCTGTCCTAATTACAGAAAATGAACTAAGACATGTGTGGAGCCTGGTGGGATGTCTGCAGAGGCTCAGTGGGCTCATGGGAACTTTCCCAAAGCATTGTCTGTCTCTGCTTGCTCCAGCCCCTCAGTCTGCCTCTTTGACGGTGGCCATTTTGCATCCCCCAAGCCTCAAAGACTGAGGATGATTCTAGATGAAAGAAAACTCTGTTTTAATTGTTTAAAGGTGCTAATAAGTAATGTAAGTAGTAATAGTACAAAGTAACAGTTTTGTTGTGGGAAATTCACAGAATGCTGGTAGGAAAAAAATACACAGGAAAAGAATCTGGGGCCAGTGAGGGGGGTAAAGGCTCTTGCTGGCAAGACTGATGACCTGAATTGAAGCTTCAGAACACACAAGATGGAAGGAGAGAACCAATCCCTCCCCCACAAGTTGTCCTGTGACCTCCATACATAAACTGTGGCACACATGTGCCCTATCCTCACAATGAATAAAGTAAATAAAAATAAATAAATAAATAAATAAATATCCATATGACACTGCCCAGAGAGAGTCACTAATTACCTTTTAGTGGACATCCCTTCAGGCTTTTATTTTTCTTTTTCATTCTCTTTTTTAAAAACTTTCAGTGCTAAGAATCAAATGCAGGACTTTGTAGGTGAGCACTAGGCTACTGAGCTATACCCTAGTCCTCTTCCAGTCCACTATGGTCAGTTATACACATACCATATATAAGAACTGTGTATAAGAAACTATACTGAGGATGGAGAGATGACTCAGCAGTTAAAAGCACCGGCTGCTCTTCCAGAGGACCTGGGTTTGATTCCCAGCACCCACGGTTCTCCATATCTCCAGCCCCAGGGGATCTGATGCCCTCTTTTAGCCTCCACAGGCACAGGCTGATACATGGTACACAGACACACGCAGGGGAAACACCCACACACATAAATTAACTGTATGACCTTGAACTCCCATCCTTCTGTATCCACCTTCTACATGCTGGGATGACAGGCCTGTGCCTCCATATTCATCACTCCCTATGGTAGTCCATGAGATGTCATGTTAGGGTGACAGAGGTTGAGAATCTCTAATTCAAAACCAAAAATCTGGAATCCAAAGTCCAAACTTTCTGAGCACCACCATGACACTATAGGGGACAATTCCACACCTGACCTCTGTATAAAATTACCTACATGTGGCCAGAGGTGTCAAATTCCCCTGCAGCTGGAGTCACAGGTTGTGAGTCATCTGATGTGAATGCTGGAAACTGAATTCTGGTCTTCTGAGACAACCTTCCAACCTCAAACATACTTAAAAAGACTAATAAGGAGCTACCAAAATGTTAGTAGTTAGAAATGTTAATACATATATAATGCGTATATAAACCATTAAACACATACACATGCATCCACTGCTCTGTGGATTTGGTGAATCTCAATAGCTCATCCTTTCTCTTCTCACTCAGCACATGTCACATGTATTTTCTGTCCTCAGCTGCTCCTCTGCAGTGATGTGAAAGCCCGAGCCCCTTCTATTTGTAACTATATTATAAATTGTTTCCCTATTTAAAAAAATTCAGGTGCCCCCCCCCACACCCCTATATACGGCTTTGTAGTGACCATTCCCAAAGCCAGCCCTCAATGAAGGGGTCCTTCTGGCTACATTTCCAGAGGGAATAGAGGTTGATAAAAGATGCAATATTCTAAGGTCTTTATGGTGGTACAGGCAGCCTGTTTGAAGATATATGTGCTGATTTCTTCCACACTACTGCCTGAGGCTAAGGAAGGGTGATGATGTATATGAGGATCTGCAGGAAATTTTCCAGCATTATGGGCTGGACAAAGGGCTGGTCAGGGCCATCTGGTTGTGCTTCAGTCCCCCACCCACCACCCCACAATCATATTCTGGGTCCCATTGCTCCAGGGATCACACCAAAATGCTCCTGGACTGGAGCAATAAGGCTCTACTGAAGAGAGGAGAAAGGATGGGCTGGGGAGCATGGCTCTGCTGATAAAGTGCCTGCCATGCACCCATGTGGACATGTCAAGTGCTGAGAGCCAGTTGTGCCCTGTCTGCTCTAACTTACTCCACGTGGGCCATGCCTTGCCCCAGGATATTCCATTATACAGGCAGCTTTTGCCTCCATTTTGAGGGAGGATGACTGCCTCTGGGTGGACCTAGAAACAACAGCATCTGCCAGGACCACCTACCCAGCACAGACTGAAAAATGACATCCCTATAATTTTATAGGGCTGAATTGGGAATGTAGAAGCACATGGGTATATTAAAACCCTATCAGGAAACAGGGCTCAAGAACTTAGGAGACACATCAGACCAAGGAAAGGGGGGAGCTCCCTTTCATGGATCACACAGAGTAACACACACTTAACACTGCAATGGCATGGTGCCACAGCAACCTCTCATCTGATACTTGGCATGTGGGTCAAGGGCAAGAACTCTGTGCCTAAAGCTTGGGTTCAACTTCCTCCACCTCTGCTGTTGATGCAGCCTCATCAACTGCCTGCCAGCCCACCTTTTTGCCCATCTGGGCCTGGACCTGTTTCCTGCTCCAAATCTGGTTTGACCTTTTACGTCACAGCTGAATTCCACAGCTTTGCTTTCTAACATGACCAACTCCAGCAGCAGTGCCCTTCAGTTCGTTGTCTTACTGAGATTGACTCTTTCTCAGCCCATTTCTGAACCCTCTTAAACTCTGCTGCAGCTTCTTTAACTTGTACTCATTCTGTAGCCCATGTGCATACAGATACATAAATATATTTACTGTGCTCTGGGTGATCTGAGAATTAATATTCATAATTAATATTGGAATAGAAGAACCTACATTTACCTCAGCCAGACTACCAAGCCAGGTGGATTATATGATAAATTGCTGTTGTTGAACTCTATAAACTATGTGAATTTATTGTTATTTGACAAATTCTGACATTGTGGAAAGGCACAAACATGTTCTGGCATAATGACTTATGATAGCAGACATCTGTAACACCAGCAATGGGGATGAGAGGCATGTGAAAACAGGCAGATCCCTGGAGCTTGCTGGCCAATCAGCCTAGCTGAATCAATAAGCTCCAGGTTCAGTGAGGGACCCTGTCTCAAAAAACTAAGGTGAGAGCAATAGAGGAAAGCACCTAACGTCAACCTCTGGCTTCCACATGTGTGCACACACTTATACTTGCAACACACACACACACACACACAATAATTATAACATTCATATTGGCTGAACATCACCCTATGCAACTTTGCTGACTCTGGGTACCCAGCTTTTGAAGGGTGACATGGGATGGTGGATAAATGGGGCTCTCTGGAATCTAAAGACATGGGCTGGAGCTCCAGGCCTGCACCCCACTCCCTGTAGGACTTTGGGCAGTCCGTCAATCACTCTGGCTCAGCAGCTCTGTGACCAGAAAGTCAGGGAGTCCCCCACACTGGCAGTCGTAAGGAATGAATTTGCCCAGGTATGCTGTGCTCTGTATTTGGTCACAACGATCCTTTGAAGGACCACTGCGCTTGCTTAACCTGCTACCTTTTGCCCTCACCCAGCATCAGAATGCCACTCTCTCAGAAACCATCAGAAGCCAGGCTGGAAGCTGCAGGTGTCTCACAAAGCAGCCAAGAGGTGTGAGGGACCATGGGAAGGGAAATGGAGTCTTCCTAGAGCCAGCAAGGGACCCAAGTTAGTAAACTTGCTCTAAATCATCAGCTACACAATGTCAAATGTCCTTTCCCTCCCTGATGAATAATTTTTTTCTTCTGCAAAACAGAGATGCTGTGCTGCAGATTCTATGTCTTATCTCACCTAATCCCTAACAATGACTCTGGGATTAGAAAAGACAAGTGATGGGCTGAGCATGTGGCTCAGTTAGTAGAGTGCTTATTTAGCATGTGCAAAGCCCCGAGTTCCAGCCCCAGCACAGCACACACTGTGTGCCTCTAATCCCAGAACTGAGCAGGTGGAAACAGGAGAGTCAAAAGTTCAAACACATCTGTAGCTACACAGTGAAGTAAAAGTGGCTTGCCCAGCATGTATTCCAGCACCAATACATTGGAGAGATGGAATACAAACAGACCCAGCTCACTGGAGCCCTTTCTCCCTCATTCTTCCCCAAACCATGAGTCACATCTTACCCACACTAGGCCATTTCCTGGTGCAGGTTACATATATCTGTACTTGTGAGCATGTTCTTTGAACCAGAGCACAATAGAACCCTCCTTGTGTTTTATGGCACTGTTCAGTTAGCCAACCTGCTTTTGAGGATACAAAAGCTGAAAATTGCAACACACCAGGGCAGTTCTTAAACGTTACACCAAGAACATTATAGCGACCCCCACCAGAAACTTGAGTTCTGGCAAGATTGCTCAGTGGGTA